CGTTCGTCACGGGGAGCCCCACCTCTGGTCGGACCTCCACTGCCTTGTGGCGGGGCGATGCTGCGGAACGAGCACGCCTTCCGGGTACCGCGGCAGACGACAAAAATGATGATGTCTTCCGTCGCAGCAACAGCGGTTGACAGTATGGGTTGAACGACTGCAGCCATCTCTCTTGCGCTGAAAGATGTCCAGCGGTGCGTCGCTCACCCGCCGCCGATGGCCGCCTTGGCGCCCTGCACTTTGGCATCCCCCTCTCTCCTCTTCTCACCGCCGCCACCCCAAACAAACTCCGCTGCAATGTGTCCTCCACGTTGACCCGTTTTCTTTGGTGGGAAAACTTCCTGTCCCTCCGCCGGCCTCACCCCCAACACAATTCAGCCCGTCACCAAAAGAAGCGAAGGCAGCACACACACACAAGACAAAACATTTAAAATAAAAATAAAAAGAGAAAGAAAAAACGGATGTGGCAAACAGAACAATCGCCAGGCAGGATGCATAACAGACGGCAGCCTCCTCCCCAGTGAAGGGAGAAAAGTAAAAAAACAGAGAAACGGCATGTAGTGCCAAAAAAAAAAAAAAAAGTTCGTTTGTTCGTATCATTAGTTGAGTCTTCATTTCATACCTGCGTGTTTTTCTTTTTGTTCTGTTTTTTGTTTTGTTTTTCTGCCTTTCGTTTGTTGTTAAAAATTAAAAAAAAAAAAAAAAGAGAGAGAGAGAGAGAAGGGATAATTCCCCTCCTCCCATTAGACCGTGGAGGGGAGTAGGATGAAGTGAAGAGGGGAGGGCAGCAAGCAAAAACAAAAACAAAAAAGAAGTGGCGTACCTTCACTGATGTCACGATACCGCCGCCCCTCCACACACACAAACTGGCACCCCTTCCCCCCCCTCATCTTGCTGATTCACTGCGCCGTTTCGGTTGCCTTTGATGTTTTCTTCCCTTTTATCCTCTCGTGTTTCGGCTCGTTGTTTTTTTTCTTTTTTTCCCTCCCTCCCCGTCATCCTGCAGCCATTCGATCATTCCCTCTTCTCTTCTTTGGTCTTCGCCTCAGCCCGCCGCTGCCGCCCCTAGCGCCGGTCCACTACCTCCAGCTTGTCCAGCACCGTCTGATGCACGGAGCGGGCCTGTGAGCCCACAATCATCTGCTCCGAGACGGAATCTATCTTTGCGCGCTGCTTCGTCTCGCTGATAAGGTTGGCGAGCCACACCTCTGCGTCCGCGGTTCGCGTGCCTAGCTTTTCCGCCACGTACGGAATGGACACGACGCCGTGAGTCATCATGTAGCGGGCAAAGATAAGCCGCCTCGCGTTCTCCAAAATCTCATTCGCGTGCAAGATGAGGAAGTAGTCGCCAAGCGCTGTCGATTTAACCTCGGGTAGCAGCGCAAGGGCATCTTCAAAGGATTGCCGGTTAACAATCGCATTTACGAGCTGCGTGATGGGGTCAGAGTACTCGTAAACATTTAATACCATCGCCGCAGCGCTTCGCAGGGCAGATCGACGCTGTTTGTTAAGTATGGCAGCAGCGCAGATGTAACGCAAATAGTGCGGGCACACCGTCTCCACAACGCTCTGGTAGACAAAGTTTGTCTTAATGTCAAAGACAAAGTTCAGCAGGTGCGTGGAGTACTGATTGCCGCCCTTGAAAAAGGGGAACAGCACCCAGTGCAACAGCCACGCCCGTTCCCGTGTGGTCGTTGTGTTAGCAACACGAAATATGTCCTCCTCAAAGACATCCGCATTTTGTTGCCGGCGTATCTTCTCCGCCGCCGCAATGGCGGAAGGCCAATTGCATGTGCACATGTCGCTGACCAACTTCCCCCACAGAAGTGTCCTCTGATCAATTTCATAGCCCACAACGCACTGACACAGCGAGAGCAGTTCTGAGGCATCGGTATAACGGGCGGCGTCGTAGTATAAATAAGCTAACTCCATCACGGCTTTCATGACGTTGGATGTGATGCCTTTGGCCTCCAGCACGTCGCGGGAGAGCTCGCGGTTGCTACGCAGCGCATCAATCTCACTTCCGGTTAGTTTGAACTGATATGTGCTGTTCTCCGTCTCGCTCTTCTCAAAGAACTCATCGAGAGCCGGTCGGGCGCGCTGGGCAGTCTCCTTAATTTTTCGCTCCTGCTCCACCGACACCTCACCCTCCGCTGTGAGCGCCGTGGTCGCCTGAACAGCGCGGAGGGCATCCGCCACGTCAAGCCCCTGTTCGTCGTAGAAGTACAGCAGGCCAAGCGCCAGGTGCTTGTCAAGGTGCGGCAGCAGACACCGCAACATCTCCGTCATTTTCTTTCCTTCTCTCGCTCTCAAACAGACTTAATTCCTACAAAAAAACAAAAAAGAACTGCCCATACACACGTACACGCATGCAGTTACACATCGGCATGCACAAAGAGGGAAAGAGAAGAAAAAAAAAAAAAAAAAAGATATCAAAATGCGCTGCGCGTCGTAAAAGGTGTGGGGGGGTCGAAGATACTTCAAACACACCCGCAATGCACACAAACAGACACAAACAGAAAAAAACAAAAAAAAAAGAATGAAAGGGTGTGCGTGGACACAACTCCTGACAACTCCCTCCCCCAACCATCAACTCTCGTGGGCGTCGTGTTACAGTCACTGCAGAGCGTGGAGGTAAATGATTCCCTCCTCTGTTGCTACAGCCGGCAAAGCCTCCAGGGAACAATAAAGAAGTAGATTTAAATAAAAGAGAAAATCAAAAAAAAAAAGAAACAACGCCTCTACAAACACCAACAACCAGTCAACACAGTAAAAAACCACAAAAAATAAAAATACAAGCGTACAGATAATGGCAACAACAAGAAAAAAAAACGCCAATTAACCCTGGAGTCTGCATGTACCTGTATGGATACTGCGTCCTGCGTAGGTAGGTGTATGAATCTATGTGTGCATGTATCTTCTAACCTTCCCTTCGCCATTTAGGAACGAATGAGCTCGAGTAGGTCGCTGTATATGTTCTCACAGTAGTTGTTCTCAGCCGCAATCTCCATCATCATGTCATGTAACCTCAGTTTGTCCTCTACCTTTGCCTGCTGCTGCCGCAAACTGCGAAGCTGATGTACCTTGCGGTCCAATTCATTCATAATGCTGCGCATGCGTCGACTCACCTCCACCGAGTCCACTACGGGGTCATTAAGTGCCACACTGCAGTCCTGATACTCCCTGCGCAACGAAAGAATCTCGCGCAGCAAGGAACGACATACCGCCTCAAGATGGCGTCCACTTTTCGTCACCGCACGACTCGGTGTCCTCGTTTTTGCACTACTATCTACCACATGCCGCAGTGGTGATGATGAAGCTGATGCCACCGCTGTCTCCTTCCCCAAAAAAGAACCTGACGGTTCGCATTTTCCCAAAAGAGGCATCGGTTTTGTCTCACCGAGTGGACTAATGCCGTAACGTGGCGAATTCTCTAGTCGTCTATCCATTGGTGAAGTGATGCCACAGCGTCGATAGTAAAGCCGTGGCTTGTAGTAATTCTGCCGCTCCACCGTCGACACAATGGCCGCGATGTGGTGCGAGGAAGGCGAAGTGGTGTGGCACCGATCGGGCGGTCCGGATGGGAGAAACACCTTCTCCAGCCCGCAATAGACACCCTGCCGCCGACTGCATCGATCCTGTCGTTGAGCCTCAGCCGATTCACGTGTGTGCTGCTCCTCCACATCCTGCCGCAGCCGCTGCAATTCATCGTTGAGGCCCCGCTGTCTTCCCAACACCTCGCGTAGCTGCATTTCATGCCAAGTCTTCTCTTCTTGCGCGAGGCCGACCTCGGTGCGTGTGGCTTTTACCTGTTCCTGCAGCTCCAAGAGCTCGCACTGCAGTGCCTTCTCTCGCCCCTCCCGTTTATGCTGCCGTGCCTGCATCTCATTGCGGCACTGCTTCTCTCGCTGCAGCCGCATCGACGTCACTTCTTCCTTGGCCCTTTCGTTCTCCATCAACAGACGCTGCAGTTCGTCGCGAAGTCGGTCTTCCGCGGCGGCATGGATGGCCCGTTCCTTCTGCAGAAGAAGCGTGAGCTCCGCGCGGTGTCGCTCGAAACTGCTGCGGGCCTTTTTCTCTAAATTGGAGTACAACTCGGCGTCCTCCTGCACCGACTGCAGTTTCATCTGAAGATCGCCCAGTGCCTCCGTCACTGACGACGTTGACAAATCAAAGTCCATGTCTTCGCTCCTCCTCCTCCGTTACTGACGGCGCCGCAAAGAAATATATATATATATCAGCCAATGGAGAAAAATAAAACTAAAAAGAGGGGAGTGACAGAAGCACGCACGCAGCCGTAAACGCCACACACGCCTCCCTCAACTACCAACACCTCACCAAAAAAAAAAAAAAAAAACAGCAAATAAAGTCGTTGGTAATGTACATATATATATACACTATGCCTGTGCTGCTCAGGAGCACACTAGATGTGTTTATCACATGAAAAAAGGCGCTGAGAGGAGAGGCACCTGATGTTTGTTTGTTTGTTTGCTTCCTTCTTTTTATTTTCCATCCATATAAACTCTTCGCTTTTCGCCATCTCACCATTTATATAAAATGTGTGCATATATATATATATATTCCACCACACAATTTGTTTGTGTCTCCCTCTCGCTGTTTTATCCCGTTGCTTCACAAATCCTTCCTTTTATTTTTCTTTTTTTTTTTTTTTTGCCTTTGTCACTTCGGCAACTTCCCGCTCATGAGAAATAATTTACCCCTCCCTTCCTTCCTCTCTCACACTTTCTCTATTCATATCTCGCTCTTATATCGTCATACAACTGCATCTCCTTCACCCCCACCCCCACCCCTCTCATTCATGCGTGTTGAAGGCGTGTGGCGAACTCCCTCCGGACGCTCGTCACCCCTTCTTTGGCGTTCATCCAAAATATATAAATATAAATATGTTCCTGTGGCCCCCTTTCCGGTTCGGTTTCCCACTTGCGTGTGTGTGTGTTCTCGCTGCGCTGCTACACGGTGGGGCTGCTCAAACGTTCCTCTCATTCCTGCAAATCCTCCTCCTCCTCAAGAAAGGCACGCACGCCATCAATAAAACCCAAACAACTGACCGCCACGCGCAACATGCCCTCCTTCCGTGTATCCCCCTCATTGTCATCGGCGTACATCTCACGCTCCCGCGCCAACCGGCGCACTCGTGCCCCGAATTCCACGAGGGATTCGCCGCTGACGATGCAATACCCACGTTCGTCGTACAGCTCCTCGTCGCAGCCGTTATATAGGCACTCCAACAGCTGCGGGCCGCGCAGGTGCAGCAGGCAGTTTCTATCACCAACGGCAATGCAGGTGGCCTCCATTATCGCCTGCATCTCGTCGTGCCCCGTCACCATCTCCAGATAGAAGGGATGGCACCACTGCCCAAAAAGACCATTCACCGCCTCAATCACGGGGCGCGGGTCGTGGCTGGGGCCATGTTTCTCTAATACATGTGTTAGAAGACGCTCCGTTACAATGAAGCAGAGATCACTATTTTTGCGCTCGAATGAAAGACGGGTGTTCCTCATTTGAAATACGCAATGTTCAATGTGGGAGGGATTCCTCAGTGCTTGATTCACAAGTTCTACCACCGCCTCCTTAAAACCTGCCGTCTTTTCTGAATCGTCATCATCATCATCATCCCCATCATTATCGTCGGATGCCTCACTCGCCTCACACGGAACTGGATCCCTCACAAAGAGCTCCCGCGTGGGGATAATGTTGTTGACATGTCGCCTCGGCAGGGCCTTGCCT